CGGCGAGAACCTCGATAGAGATAAGTGTAGAATCGGCTGCGCCAGCGGTCGCAGGCGCGGGTGTCGTGTCCAGCGGGCCGGGGATGTGAGGCGCGGTGACAGGTGGAACAGGAAAGAGCGGCCGCGGAGGAGGAAAAGGGAAGGAGCCCGACCGTCGAGTCGACGGGAGAGGGGAGAGAAGCGAAAACCTCTAGAAGTGCCCAAATCCTCAGAAACCAAGTCGCCTCTGTCGTCGTCATGGTCGCCGCCGTCGCCGTCGCCGCCGCCGCCGCCGCCATCGTCGCCGTCGCCGTCGTCGCCGCCGTCGCCGTCGCCGTCGCCGTCGGCGTCGCCGTCGTCGTCGTCGCTCGTCGCCGCCGCCGTCGCTGCCGCCGCCGTCGGCGCGGCGCACGCGGCGGCGGAACCCGAGCAGGCCAGTGAAGTAGGACGACTGCACCCAGGTGAAGCTGGGCGGGTACCTGCGGCGCCGCACGAGTGGCGGAGATACGCGGAGCTGGGGGCGAGCCCAAAGGGGGCAAACCTCTTCAGAAGGCGGCGAAGTTTCTCAAAAGCCCTCCGGCCTTACAAGGAGCCGTCTCTGTCATCGGGGAAGGCACAGAGAATTGCACGAGGGCTGGAGGCCTTCCGAGCCTCCTGAGAAGGCACCCCTGACCTCCCCCTTGGGCTCGCCGCCGACAGAGGGCAGCTTTACACCGTGTGTACGCCCTCCTGGCCGAAGCAAACAAAGAGTTCTTCTAGGGCCACGCGTGGGCAGCACACGGGTATCACGACCGAGGCTGCAGGCAAGCCAAATCGTGCTCTGCCTGGTCGTCTTGTCGCCGCTTCAGCCACGGGAAGACTTCAGAAGCCCGAAATGGGTACGGAACAAGTGGGTGCGATGCCAAACAACACATGTTGCGGAAAACCGACAGCAGCCGCTATTCGGCAGGCGGCCTTCTGTCTCGAATGGACAACGTCCGCGGCGACACCGACAGTGTGTCCTGTCCAGCATGAACAGAAACTGTTGTCGGACCCCTTCCTTCAGTAGGCATTTCGATTGCCCCGAAGACAGCTGCATGGACTGTTATCGGGGATCTTCTGCCCCGGCTCAATCCAGACTCGGGTCAGCAGGAAACCAAACAACTGCAATGCAGGAAATAAAACCTGCAACGCAGGGCTTCGCGAACCCGGGTCGGCCCACATGCGCGGCCGCCTCGCGGCCACGAGCGGCTCGCTGACCCGGGTCAACCAAAGAGGGTCTTCGCAGGATCCTACAGGATCCAGTGCCCTGGCTGACCCCCGTTTGCATTGACCCCCTCGGGCCGAAAGAGAGGGGCGCGACGAGGCCGAGGAGGAGCAGGCCGATGGCACCACGCGCGAGGTCCGGCCACGCGCGCGGCGGTCGCAGCCGCCGCCGCCGTCCCCATGATCGTCGCCGAAGATAGGGGGGAGGGCGGAAGATAAACAAAAGTAAGACGAAGCCTGGACGAGGATAATTTCGGGGGTGGATAAATCGAGAATCTCTGAGATCCGACGGCTCTGGAGGATGTATCGGGCGCTGCGGCCTTCTCAGAGCGTTCCAGAACGCTCGGAGAGCGTTCCGGAACGCCGTGGAACGAATTTATACTCGTTCTAAGCCCCGCCCGATAAGGATTGACGATCGAAACTGCTGGACGTTGTCCATGTCTTTTCGACTTCTGGACTCCTCTGGAGGCCCTGCTGGGGTCTCCAGGAAACTTCCAGAGACCTCTGGGGGGAAAGAGAGGGGAGCAGCAAGGAGGAGACAAGGAGTGAGGGAGGAGAGAGAAACTGAAGGGCACGGAGGAGACAGGGAACAGAGAAGCAAGCTTCCCCCTCCGATTCCTCCTGCCTCTCTGTCACACTCGTCATAATCCCTTTCTCAGCCCGCGTCCAGCCCCCCTTCTCCACCTCCTCCCCCTCGTTCACCGTACCCCTCTTCCTCTGCCTGCCCCCTCCTCTTTCTCATAAGGGGTATGAGCAGAATCGAGAAATTTGAGGCTCGGAGTCTTACTCCAGTCGGCATGATGTACCAAACCCGTCCACCCACTCAAACATGTATAAGAGAGCGCGCCGCGGAAGACAGCGTCAAGGAGGAGCCGGACAGAGCGAAGAGAATAGAGTCGCCTGCGCACGCGAAGGCTGACCGTGTGGTATGATCACACCTGCTTGCTTGTCATTACCACATTTGGCTCCGCAAGATCGTATCATTGAGATCAACGCTTGCTGGTAATGTGTGAGATTCAGATGACTACCTCGTCCCCGACCTCCCAGACGGTCCTTTCCCCCGTCGTCCTCATACTAATTCGACGTTTTCCCTTCACATGGGCCATGCCAGTTGCCTGGAGTAGGCACTATATGGAACTTTCCCCTCCTCCTCCTCCTGCTCGTATTTCTCAGTATGCCCGAGGCACTTGACGGCAGCGATGGCCGCAATGGCAAGCCACAGAGCAAACAGGTTGCAGAATTTCGTCGACAAGGCCTTGAACGCCGACTCGGTCTCCTTCTCTTTGGCTTGCTCGACATCGACACGACGACGACATGTAATAGGCAGCTGCATCGTCACACAGGTAAGGGCAGACCCTGGCGCGATAATCCTACGCACGCCAGCAGTGGAACCCGCCCAGTCTCATAATTACCGTCCTCGCCCAATATGGATTCAGAATCTTGGGGCCACTACTTGCCTTACCCTGTTCGTCAGCAACTCTCTCACTCTCCCTTCGACCCTCCTGCTCACCCCCGCTGTACTCCAGAGGACAGATTAGGAGGCGACGAAGTATACCAGGAATCCAATCACCTATGCAGCGGAACAGGACCGTCGGGCCAACGAGTGCTTCAACGGACACTAGAGCCTAGAGAGCTCATTAGTGCCCCCATCCTCCGACCTGAGGTTTTAGGCGGCCACTCCCTGCGACGAGCTGAGCCTAGACACGCAGCTGGCTGCATCACCATCGGTGAGGCACGTCTCCCTGGGAGTAGACGTCCTCTCGCCTCTTGCGGTCTTTTGACATTTCCTTCTCCTCCCTGCTGCCCTCCCTTCAGATTGCCGCCTCGAGCCGGATCTCCTCTGAAGTTCCCGAAATCCCGAAAGTCTGGAGACCCGAATAGAACAAAAAGCGTTCAAAAGTCTGCCTGCGTTCTGTCTTGCGGGCGCCAATGCCCGAACCACGGACTCAGAATCGCGCAGTCTTCTGTTTGCCTGGCCCGGAAGGAAAAAAAAAGGTCAAAGGTATGATGCCTGCGCTCTCTTCTTGCAGGCGTCAGTGCCAGCACCACGGACTCAGAGTCGTGCGGTCTTCTGCCTGCCCGAAATCCTCCTCGATGACCCCTTTAGGGATAGCTAGGGTGTCTTCAAACTTTGGTGCGTAAAACGTGTATATATGTGTATACTTATACATTTCTATATATATATATACATGTGTATGTATGTAAGAGTGTATGGATGGATGAATGGATGCTTGTCTGTCTGTCTGTCTGTCTGTCTGTCTGTCTGTCTGTCTGTCTGTCTGTCTGTCTGTCTGTCTGTCTCTCTATGTATGTATGTATGTATGTATGTATGTATGTATGTATGCATGCATGCATGCATGCATGCATGCATGCATGCATGTATGTATGTAGGTAGGTAGGTAGGTAGGTAGGTAGGTAGGTAGGTAGGTAGGTAGGTATGTATGTGTGTTTATATGGATGTTTGTCCGTACAGTCGGCCTTGATTGGACAGGACACGCGAGAAGACACAAGACCCTTCCGAGGGCCACATCGCCATAGGAGTGTAAGAAGGCACGTGTCGCGAGGCACAGGACACAAGGGTACCCTTGAGCTGGCAGGGTCGACCTACTAATCCGGGCCGACTGTATTAAACATGATCGGCAACGCACGTGGCATGGACTCCCCTGGGAGTGTCCTGCACACTCGGGGGACCAGACGACATCCGCGGAACCTCGAAAGGCCTACAGACAGAACCGTTGCCACGACACGGACGGAAGACACGAAGGGCAACCGTGCGCTCGGCCTGTCGCGGCGCGCTGCGGCGCTACGTTTGAAAGCCCCCGTGGGCCCCAAAGGGCTACCACAACAATCCAGCAGCACATGGATTGGGGGGGCGAAGAGGAAGAGGAGGGGGACAAGGAGGACAGGCCTGAGGGGGAGTGAGTAGCGTGGTTGCCAAAATCGGGTGCCACGCGCACCACCTGCTGGAAATGAGCCGGCACAGAAGTGAACCAGCACAGCAGGAGTCGCGGAGGAGGGAGCAAAGACGACCACAGATTTGTTGTGTGACCCCCCATCGGGCCTCAACGGCTGATTTTTTAAATTGATCACAACCGCGAAATAAGAGGCAACGCGTTTCACGGGCGCTTGCCTCGGGAACATTCCACGGCGCGTTTGAACCGGAGGGGGGCCCCCCCAGACACACACCCCGGCGCCGAGGAGGAGGGTCCGAACCCCCCCCGCCCTGCCTGGCGCCGACGGCGGCGAAGCGGCGACGATGACCCGGACGAAGACGACAACGATGAACAGGACAAAGTCGGCCCTGAATGACGGAATATGGACAGGCCTGGATTTCCAATATAGCTACTCTTCGCGCTGCGTCGAATGCCTCCCGCGCTTTCCGTCGTCGTCGTTATGGCCATGGTCGTCAAATTCGTCATCGTGACCGTCGTCGTCGCCTAAGCGGCCTTTGTCGTCGTCGTCGTCGTCGTACTCGTCGTCGTCGTCATGAAAGTCGTCGTGGTCGCCGTCGTGGTCGTCGTCGTCGCCGATGTTGCAATCGTCGTCGTCGTCGTTGCCGTCGTCGTCGTCGTCGCCGCCGTCGTGGTCGCCGCCGTCGTCGTCGTAGTCGTCGTCGTCGTCATGCTCCAAATCGTCGTGGCCGCCGTCGCTGTCGTCGTCGTCGCCGTCGTCATCATCGTCGTCGTCGTGTTCGCGGCCGCCGTCGTCGCCGTCAACGTCATCGTTGGTGACGTCGGCGTCGTCTTCGCCGTCGCCGTCGTCGCCGTCGCCATCGACGTCGTTGCCGTAGTGGTCGTCGTCGTCGCCGTCGTCGCCGTGGTCGCCATCGTCGTCGTCGTCGTCGTCGTCGTCGCCGTCGTCGTCGTCGTCGTCGTCGTCGTCGCCATCTTTGTCGTTATCGTCGTCGCCGTCGTCGCCGTTGTCGCAGTCGTAGTCGTCATGGTCGCCGTGGTCGCCGTCGTCGTCGTCGTCGTCGTCATCGTCGTCGACGTCGTCGTCGTCGCCGTCCTCGTCGTCGCCGTGCTCGTCGCCGTCGGCGTCGTCGTCGTCGCCGCCGCAATCGTCGTCGTCGTCGTCGTCGCCAACATCGTCGTCGTCGTCGTCGACGGAAAGGCCGTCGTCGTCGTCGTCGCTATCGTCGTCGTCGTCGTCCTAGCCGTAGTCCTCGTCGTCGTCGTGGTCGTCGTCGTCAACGTCGTCGCCGAAGCCGTCGACATCGTCGTCTTCGTCGTCGTCGTCGCCATGCTCGTCGTCGTCGTCGTCGTCGCCGCCGCCGTCGTCGTCGTGGCTGTCGTCGTCGTCGCCACCGTCGCCGTAGTCGTCGTCGCCGTCGTCGTTGTCGTTGCCGTCGTCGCAATTGTCGTCGTCGTCGTCGTCGTCGTCGTCGTCGTCGTCGTCGTCCCCGTCGGCGTCGTCGTCGTTGTCGTTCCCGTCGTCACAATCGTCGTGGTCGTCGCCGTCGCCGTCGTCGTTGTCGTTGCCGTCGTGCTCGTCGTCGACGTCGCCTTCGTGGTCGTCGTGTTTGTCGCCGTCGTCGGCGTCGTCGTCGCCGTAGTCGTCGTCGTCGTCGTCGTCGTCGTCGTCGTCGTCGTCGCCACCACCATCGCCGACGTCTTCGTCGTCGTCGTCTTCGCCGTCGTCGCAATCATCGTCGTCGTGGCCGTCGTCGTCGTGTCGTTGTCGTCATCGTCAACGTTGTCGTTTTGGTCGTCGTCTTCGCCGTCCTAGTCACCGTGCTTGTCGTCGTCGTCGTCGCCGTCGTCGTACTCGTCGTCGCCGTTTTCGTTGCCACTGTCGTCGCCGTCGTCGTCGTCGTCGTGCTCGTCGTCGTTGTCGTCGTCGTCGTAGTCGTCGTCGTCGTCTTCCCCGTCGTCGTGGCCGTCGTCGCATTCACCGACGTCGCCGTCCGACATCGTTGCCGTAATCGCCGTCGTCGTCGTCGTCGTCGTTGCCGTCGTCGTCGTCGTCGTTGCCGTCGTCGCCGTCGCCGTCGCCGTCGTCGCCGTCGTCGTCGCCGTCGTCGTCGTCGTCGCCGTCGTGGTGGTCGTCGTCGTCGTTCGTCGTCGTCGTCAACGCCGTCGTCGTCAAGGCCGTCACCGTCGTCGTCATAGTCCTCGTCGTCCTCGTCGTCGTCTCCGTGATCGTCGTCGTCACCGTCTCCGTCGTCGTAGCTGGCGTCGTCGTCGCCGCCGTCACCGTCGTCGCCATCGTCGTCGTCGTAGCCGTCGTCGTCGTTGCCGTCGTCACAATCGTCGTTGTCGTCGCCGTCGTCGTCGTTGACGTCGTCATCGTCGTTGACGTCGTCGTCGTCGTCGTGCTCGTCGTCATCTTCGTTTTCGTCGTCGTCGCCACCGTCGTGATCGTTTAGCTTGTCTCGTCGTCGCCGTCGTCGGCGTTGTCGTCGTCGCCGTCGTCGTCGCCGTCGTCCTTGTCGTCGTCGTGGTCGTCGTCCTCGTCGTCGCCGTCGTCGTCGCCGTCGTCGTCGTCGCCGTCGTCGTCGTCGTCGTCGTCGTCGTAGTCGTCGTTGTCGTCGTCCGTCGGCGGCGTCGTCGTCGTCGTCGTCGTCGCCGTCGCCGTCGCCGTCGTCGCCGTCGTCGTCGTCGCCGTCGTCGTCGTCGTCGTCATCGTCGTCGTCGTCGTCGTCGTCGTCGCCGTCCGTCGGCGTCGTCGTCGTCGTCGTAATCGTCGTTGCCGTCGTCGTTGCCGTCGTCGTAAACGTCGTCGTCGTCGTCGTCGGCGCCAGCGCCGGCGCCAGCGCCGGCGCCGCCAGTCGGCTCTGGTGCCGTCCTGGAGGACGAGGAGGGTTTTCGATCCCCCCCCCTGAATCGTCGTCCTCGTCGACGTTCCCCGCCACCTCCGACAGCCGCCGCTGGCGCCGGCGCTGGGCCGGAAGGGGGAGGGGGCCGCCACCGCCGCCAGGGCAGGCCCAGGGGGGGGAGTTGAGCCAGGGGATGGGATGGGCGGTTCCGGACCCCATCTCGCCCTAACGCCTACAGAGCGCGCTCTTTCCGCAGTGACGAGGGGGCCAAAGACGGGGAATAGCAAAAGGCTGCTACAACCCAGCAGCGACCATTTTCAACATGACCAAATAGTGAACCAGCGCTGACTGGCGCGAGCAAGGAGGAGTTGGATGGCCGAGAGCCGCCATGGCGAGCGCGAGCGGACCGCCCGGACCAAGTCCCCTGGTTCGCGCCCCAGCGCCAGCCAGGGTCTTCCAGACCCAACAAGATGGCCTCCCACCACCCACTCCAAACCAAACGTCCAGCCACCGCAGCC